GTCACGCCCCCTGTTCCAAACCTAAAGGTTCCCTTTGATTCCAAGGGCTCCACACACACACTCGAGAAATATCGCGTACGATTTGAATCCGCCACCTCCCAAAAGACCTACTGTATATAAGTGAGAAAAGGAGCCTGAGTAAAGCATATAAGGGGGTTTGAGCATCCTGCAGTGTCGAGGCCCAAAAACCTAACTCCAAAGACTCAATCCAAAGAAATCCGATTCGAATGAGAAACTATGGAAGGCTGCATGGCATGTCTGCCGATCTCATTCGCACTTATTTCACTGCAAAGCCGAAGCCAAGAGAAACATATTTTCCTAGCAAGCAGGGACCATGAGGGAGTGAAAAGTCGCATCAGCAGGTGCACCAGGTTGATCAGACCTGGCCTCCACCATCACGCATAGCTTCGTTGGCATGCGTTTGCGTGATGGCCGCATGCCCTGCAGTTCACACTAGAAACCAAGAAATAGAATACTTTAAAGTCCAAGGGTGTACACTCTGACATTGGTTTTCAGTTAACTCAATTTCCAGGAAAAAATGGTGATGGAACCGAAAGGTGAAATGGTCGGAGCACTTGAAGATGTTTCAAAAAGGGTTTGTGCACATCTGCAGTTCATGAACGCGCGGCAGCTGAATGCGGCTGAAGGAAAAAGGTTTGGGGGGGAGTATCGTGGAACCACCATGAATCAAAGCGAGAAAAATTGGAGTGACAGCTTGTGCAAAAGTTCTTTCAGCAGGTACACAGATTGGCGTCCCAATCTGCTTCACGGAATGTCCACAGCTGTCTTCGTTGGCAGCAGAACTGTGGATTCCCTGCTGCCCCCTGCTTGCATGAAAAGCTGGGAAAACCGTTGCAAAACCCTTAGAAACAGGGTGTGACACACACAACAAGCCGAACTCGGCGCGGGTGCAAAGCAGTGGATAAAACGGACTTTTTCAAAAACCGCCTGCACGCTTGCAGGTCATGCCCTTTTTGGGCATAGAGTTGGACCAGTGCTTCAGCCGCAGCTGTTGCGTTGTGAGGTGGGAAAGTGTAGGTGTAAATGGCATGGAGTCTGGAAGCAAAGCCGGAAAGAGCCAAGCGCTGGCTACCGGCGCTGGTGTGGTCCCTGATTTTCCAGGGTTGGGTCGGTTGCATGTAGGTGATAGTTCATTGTTGAAGGTCAATGTTGAAGCCCAAGAGAGTGAAGTCATCCACAGTTTCCAGTTCGACGGGATCGCCGAAAAAGTTGCGGTGGATGAGTGTCTGAATTGCTGGGTGGGTAAGGAAATGTTCGCTGTGAATGATGAAGCGGTTGTCGACATACCGATAGTATGTGAAGGGGAGGGCCGTGTGCTGGAGAAGATTGTTGTGGAGCTGGTGCCAGGAGTGTTCAATGAGAGTGATGGCGACGTTGCAAAGGGCAGGGGAGAGCTGGGAGCCAATCCCAGCGCCTCGGATTTGTTTGTAGGTGTTGTTGCATGCCCGGAAAATGCATGTGTTGAGTGCGAAGGCCACAATCGTTGTGATGTCGGAGGTGTGATTGGTGCGCTGTGTAGGGTGACGGAGGTGGTGCCTGCCGATGTGGGAGTGGTGGAAGGGGTTGCCTGTGGCTTTGGTGTCGACTGTAAGTGTATGTGTATTGTTCTGGCGCTGCCATTGTTGAATCAGAGAGTGGACGGCATCAATCAAACGGTATTGGGGAACTGAGGTGCAGAAGCCCATGAGATCGTCGTTGGTGGCATGGAGGGGGGATGTCCGGAGGTGTTTGGGTGAGGTAGCAATGGAAGTGGGCCCAAAGCTGTGGGATGGACATTTGGCCTGGAAGTTGGGGGAGGAGGTGTTGTAGGATGATGTCGAGTGCTCGGCTGGTGAGGCGGAGGAGATTGCCACTGAGGCATTGAAAGTAAGAGATAATGGTGCGCCCTTTGCGCCAATGCTTCTTTTCCTTCAAGTGGACAATGCCGTACGGGATCGTAAAATCCTTGCGGAAGCCCCATTTGTAACGTGTACGAAAGCTGGAGGGGACGGTGTTCAAAAGGTATTCGTGGATGTTCGATGGGTGGAGTGCTGGCATGGGTTCAAAGAGTTCCGGTGCTTGCCAGCCCAGAGCATCCTCGATTGAAAAAAATCAAGTGCACGATTGAAAAAAACAAATTTCAAGTGTCGATTGAAACTTGAATTTTATGATACTTTTTCAAGTGGAGGCATGTTCTTGTCGATTGAAAATTCGATTGAAAAAACATATTTTTCGATGAAAATTCGATTGAAAATTCGATTGAAATTTGATAAGGAAAAAAGTCCTTTAAGTAGCTTTAAAACTTGAAGTTTTTTTGACTATATCTGTGTACTTAAAAAGCTTTGTCTTATTACTCAGCTGACTGAAAAAACTTTGT